TCTTCCTTTATTGCTTCACTGACACAGCTCTAACTACAATACCCATTCATTAAGTCTAGATGGCCTATAATGTAATCAACAAAGAAACACTTATTCAAGGCAAAAAAAAAAAAAAGTAAACGAATCTTTCTTTTAACTTTCATGCACAGTAACTAATCTTTTACTTCAAAGACTTCCTTTAATCTTGTGGCTGTGGTCTGTGTCGAAGATCAAGGAGAAAGGAAAGGAGATTGAAGACAAAAATGATGGGAAGATTAGTAAAAGGACCATGCTGTAGAACCTGTGTAACCAAGTCTGGTGACCGGCTTTCAGAGTTTATCATGGGAGGTGCTTACTAGGAAATGCCTCTTAAGTCAAGAACTGGAGGGGCCTGGTAGCAGGGACTCAAGAGAGGTGAACTGCTGTTGTGGAGGAAGGCAGCCTCAGGTAACCAGCCACAGCAGTCCTGGAGATACAACAGCTATTATGAGCTGTCTCTAAGTATGCTGAAATGATTAGGCTTTTCAATCTCCTCTTCCCCATATAAACAGAACCAGCTCACTGATGTTGGTGCTGGTGAATCACAGAGTAATGCTGCCTGGCTCATACATATTCAGAAGCAGCTATCAAGTCCTCCACAGAGGTAGAAACTCAGCCAGCTACAAATCTGAGCATAAAACCCAGACTTTATTGAGCTGCTTCTCACTATTTCTAATAACAATAAAAGATACGATGCCTATTTTGCAAGGAATCACCAAGGAAATATTTAATTGCATCATGAAATTTTAATGGATGAGATAAATCAAGCCAGCTTTTCACAGAGAAACAGAATCATTAAACCTACCAACAAAATTATGAATCCTGTATCATAGGCCCAGTTTTAGACATTCAAACTTTGTTGTTTTATCTATGTTCTATAGCATATTCTATTCCCTACATGCCACAAAGACAGTACAGGTAAGCCTTTTTCCCCCTCTCAATCTTCATTGAATCTCAATAGAAAAAAAATAATAAATTGACAGTAGTCAGGACTGGATGACTAGGTATGCACTTTACTTAACAAGCTGGCAAAGCCCCTCCCCAATGCACTGATTCTTCATTTTGAATTTTACTCAAGTGGTTAAATTCCGAATAAAAACTGTTTGCTTACATGCTTAAGAATTATGGATCTGTTTCTCCTATGCGTTCCAGCTACACTGTGCTGTCTGATGTACAGACTTGCCACACTCTTCTCCACCTGTCTCCTTTGCATTGAGCTCTGCCTGAGATCATCACACAGCCTAGTTCTTACTTTCTACAAAGAGTCAGCATCAAGGCTGAGTTCACAGATTGCCAGATAATCTACAGCAATCCTGCCCTGCCTAAACCAAATCTGTTTTATATTAGCCTACTTTATTATCTGGTAATAAAATTACCTTGGATCATCCTGTTTATATGTTTATTCATTATTTACTATGGTATCCACAGCATACAGATTGGTGCCTGACATTCAAATAATTACTCATTTGAAAGAATGAACACAGAATGAATGAATCAATGAGTGAGTGGTCATGAATCATATAAAAAACAAACTAAGTGTAAAATTACTTGTCTGGATAAAACCCAATTCTAGGGCTGGAGAGATGGCTCAATGATTAAGAGCACGGACTGCTCTTCCAGAGGACCTGGCAATTCCCAGCACCTACATGGCAGCTCACAACTGTCTCTAACTCCAGTTCCAGGGGACCGACAGAAATAAATGCAGGCAAAACAATAATACACATAAAATAAAAATAAACAAATTATTTTTAAAAACCTAATTCTATACTTTTGAATGAAAAAAATGGACTAGCTATTCTGTATTCTAATATAATGACTTTTATTATACAATCTCAGATATACACATATATGTATATATATATCAGATATATATGTGTGTATATATATATCAGATATACACATATGTATATATATCAGATATATATGATATATATCAAATATATATATTTGAGCTTTATGATATATATCATATATATGATATATCATATATATATATATATATATATATATATATTTGAGCTTTCTTAAAGGGCATAATGATAATGAAATGAATATGAACCTGATCACAAGAGTAATATATGTGGGGGGGTAACAAAAGTATATGACTGTGTAAGACACACCCATATTCTGAGTAGTAAAAACTATGGGAAAATATGTTGAGAATCATTTTAGAGTAAGTTCCCAATTTCATATTAAAAACAAGCTTGTGATGAAGTCTGCATAAGAAGGACAAACAAGTCATAAATCAGATAACTATCCTTACAAAATACTTTTCGTAAACTTTTATAATATCTGGCTAGATTCTAAGCTAAGAATATACACTGTCCCAGAAGAGTCACTGGGCTCAGGAATTCAAGTTCTGGCAGGACGAACTGGAACATCTTCTTGATGCTGGCTGGACGCTGATTCCCACTCCCATGCAGATCATTTCAGTCATCTGCACTTTCGACAATATAGTAAATAAACACTATGGACATTAGGCAAGGCACTCAACTCTTTTTTTCAACACCGTCTATTTCAAGTAAAAAAAAAAAGTTCTACACATATTCTTTGTCTATATTAGAAAAAAAAATGTTTTATTTATTTAAAATTCTTTCTAATGGTTCATCAAATTCTATAGTTACTCAAGAAAACTGGATTTTGGTGGGAAGATACCATCTTTACTCTGATACATCATTTTTAAGTGACTCTAACTCAATCTTCTTTCAGATACTGTGTTTCAAATAATGAAGCATTACTAGGCACAGAAAAGTGGGAAAAGAAAGAGTTTCTTCCATAGGATAGAGATGCAGTAAAAACTGGGTCTAAAGTCAGGATAATAAAAGCACGAGTAGGCAAGCCTTCGAATATCTGAGGAAATGCTGCAATAAGAGGACATTCTTCAAACCCTTCATATCATTGTGTGTGTGGGGGGGATGACAGCTAAATCCTAGAACTATTTTCAAGTGCATTTGACAGGCCAACTGTTGCATAATAACAAATCACTAACTGAAAATTAATGTTAGTTGCTTCAACTTATCCACATACTTCTTTCTAGTCTATGGTGACACAGAAGTAAAGAACACTGGGAAAAGTAAAAATTGATCTTTGAATGTAGGCCAGATCCCCAGTAATCACTGTTGTACAAGGAAGGACTCTTGGCTGTGTCACAGGAAGACCGGTTATATATTGATCACATAAGATGCTGCCTTAAATAATGAACAACTCGGGAGGACAAAAGGGGAGGCTGGATTTTTGCCATGTGTTACTTCCACATTTCGGTAACTTCATGAACTGAAAATGTTCTCCAAATGAAAAGACAAGGTAGTACTCATCTTCCTGTAGCAATGTTTTAACAAGCCCTGGACAGCAGGTCACTAGCCTCAAAGAAACAAGTACAGAGGTAAGGTACAGACAACTTTATTACAGTTCTTTCCAAACTTCAAAATGTATTTATCACTGAGTTTAGATCTAATATATAATATATTATATTACAAGGCAGAAGCAGTTATAATCAGATATTCCATTTCCCTGTACTGCTCAAAATACAGCTTTGTAAGAATAGCAGCAACACACGGTAGTTTATAACACTAAAATATCCTCCAATACCAGAAACATTTAAATTGAAACTTATTTTATGCTATTTTCCTCCAACATAAAGATGAAGCAAAGCTATCTTCTACATGTCTTACACCTAGAAACTGGATAGTCCATGAAAACACCCACCAGCTTACATACATTTCCTTCAGTAGATGACAGGATCTTTAAACTTAACTAAAGTAAAAGAATACTGTGGTTCCGCACTGCAAGCAAGGGCAAAGTATCTTTTTTGTAGCCACCTTAACAGTAGGCTTTTAAAGACACCCAAGTCCACAATGAGTTCCAATAGTCTTCTGTGATGAATCTGCCTCCTCACATTTGCTCTCTTAGGAGAATTTATAATCAACGTTGAACATTCCTTAATGATGAACTTAAAAGTAAACTTGGGAAAGGTAATAACATAAGGATATCACTTTCCTTATTAGACAAGGACATTATTTGCTCATCTACCTCTGCTTCAACCGACGAACCAGATAAACCTTACAAAAAGACTTCCTGCTCCACAATAATGACGGAAACAGTGACAATAGGTGTAAATACACTGAAGGGGTCCTAGCCACTTCCTTTTCTTTCTTTGTTTTGCATTTGTAAGCTACCAATTAGAACAAAACCTGTCCTTTCTTCTTATTTTCACAATTAGAAATTGTTAGGCAAGTATAGAAATGTTCTAGTTTTCATGAGATAAATGTAAAACAGATACTGCTATGAAACTGGAAAAAGAAAGGGTGAATGAAAGGTATGTGCTGGCTGCTTGGGTGGGGGAAGCAAGGCTCATAGTCACTGTACGTTAAGAGCACGTGCTGAAACTTCATGGTGCCAGTCACGTAATTTTGTATATTTGGGACTAAAGACGTGAAGGGGTATCTTTTCCCTGTGGAAATAAAAAAAGAGTGATAGAAGAGTCATAAGAAAGTGGAAGAAAAAGATTCTATACTAATTCCAACCATGCAGAAAACATGCCTTGTAAAAGCTTAATTTCAGACAGCTGTTTTGTTAAAAATAGCAGTGTTTAAAAGTAGAGAGTTTTTGGAAATACAGAAATTAGTCTACAGAGTCCTCTTGAAAATATTCTTTTATGTACTAAATAAAGAGAGTTCAAGACAACACAGGAACTCGATCAATGAGATTTATACTGTTAGTAAAACATCATCCAAATGCCCTGTACCCATTCATTATGTCAATATTAAAGCGAATGTGCTTTAGACATAAAATCTGGACAGAATCAACTAATTTGGAAATCTGTAGGTTGCATGTTTAGGTCACACTAAAGGCACCATGGGTTAAATGCTTAGTTTCTATTTACAAAAACAACAAAACTGTAACATTACACTTGAAAGTTTGAAAACAACAAATTGAGATCATTCATGAAAAGAAAGCATTCCATTCATTAAAAGAGAACTTACTTTGCCTTCTTTGTATTGTCATTTTCAGATTCTTTCACTGCAATGTAAATAAGATCCAAAATTAACTTTTCAGTTCTTCAACTTCAAAATCACTTACATAATTATCATAATTATGAATCAATGTCAAATGTTGAAACCACATAGAACAATTAAAACAAATCCATACTATGTTTACACTGGCTATAAACCAAGGCTAGTACATCCCTTCTTCTCAATGCAACTCCCTGACCTGAAATCTTGCTATATACAAATTAATTTACATGCAATCTTTGCCAGGACTGTTTTTTCCTAATTGCTGATAAGCCTAGATGTTGCTATCAGAGCCAAAAACATCCGTCTCCTAAGATTTCTAGAGTTTACTTACGATGTTCGGTCCCGGTGATCTGTGCAAGGATCCGGAAAGAACGAGACTGAGTTGTTCCAGTCCGTGGGCGCCAGTCTTCAGTGTCCTCGATCAGCCTCTTCTTGCTGGCATCACTGTGAGTGGGGATGTGATAAAACTCTGTGTTGCGCTCCACAATGTGTTTTCTCGGTGGGCTAGAAAAAAAAGCAAAAAAATACTAATTACAATTTTAATTGTATTGATGATAAAAAAAATAGTCTCTGGTGAACTAGTTATAATTTATATAGTTACTTCTCAATATTCCTTTTATATACACAGTTTGTATAAAAATACTCAATTAAAATCCCCTTCTAAATAGACATAGTAGTAAAATAGATGTACAGGTTAGTGCAAACAATGCTAAAAGGTTGTACTGAACAACAAGATTACCGTTTAGGTGGAATTTTCCTTTTAAGTGACAGAAGGAGGCAGCAGAAGAAAGATTCCCAACATGAAGAAAAGGAGAGAAAAAGAATAAGGAAAAGAGACAATGGAAAGTCTACAGCAGTAAAAATCAAATAATGTGAAATCATTGTGCTGTATAAAACAATATGAACTACGATTTAGCCACTTAAATATGAATATTTATTCTAGAATCTTTCAGTAGATTAATTTTCACAATTTAAATGTATGGATAAAGTAGCAATTCTAAAAATTGTATGGATAAAGTAGCAATTCTAAAAATTTTGGAAATTTTGGAAAGGACCCTAAGTGTTATGTTCTATAGCTTTCCCAATTGTGTTTACACATCTTTAATCCTAAAAAGAGTGTGTTCCATGTGAACACAATGAAGATCTGTGGTTTCTTTAACAGACCAAGGTTGAGATCCTGCCTCCATCACTCTTCACAAGTGTGATTTTGGACAAGTCCATCTCACTGAGCCTCAGTATTTTCATTAACAAAGAAGACATAAAGTAGTTTTCTGAGAATTAAGGTTGATAATATATACCAAAGACAAGAGTAGTATGATATCCAAACACCGAGTTTGCCAAGAACATTCACATTTATATTAATATAACATAAATATTAAGGAAATCACAATATTTATTACTTATCATTTCAGGATCAACTGAATAAATATTTTCTACTTCTCCTGAAATAAGACAAATACCAAATATTTCAGAAAATAAACAGATAAGCCTAAGTCTTATCTGGCAGAATGCAATCCTAAGATCTGAGTAGAGCAAATGTTCTAAATGTGGCCAGATGTGGATGTAAGATCTGCTAAGTTAACTTATCATAGACAATCACCATGCCATAGGACTGCAAGCATTCTAGCAGTCACAGCATCAAAAGCCTACCTCAGCAACTGAGCTTTTCCAAGTTAACAACACTGGCTTTGGAGGGAAGGACTTTGTCTCCCACTCAATGTGTTTTACAGAAGTAATTTAACTGCTCTAAGTCTCAGATTTCCCATTTGAAAAGTGGGAATTGTGTCTTAAAGGTGGTTCTGAGGAATAAACAAGATAGATGATATACGAAAACAGCTTTCCACAGGTCAAGACCTACAGAAGTCATCATACTGCTCTTTCAGGGAGACTTGAAAATTATCTGTGAAGTGTGAGTATAAGTCACAGACATACATAAAGGAAGAACCAGTATGTGTGCAGAAAAATAGCAAGACACATAGTTTACATTGATACTTCATGATTACGGAAGTGAACTACCGAACAGACATTTATGAATACTGAGCAACACCTAATCCTTTTAAGGACAGACAAAAATTTGAGTAACTAAGAAAAAGACAGAAGTGATTTATAAAAACACAGCCTTTGGTATATATAAAGCAGCTCTTAATTTTATGTAAGTACTTGAAAAAATCTGGAGCAGCTAACAAATCTATTAAGTTATAAACTTCCCTTTAATTAGTCAGTAAGCACTGTTTATTCTTAAATTATGCCAATTTCAAGGGTACGTTCTGTTATTACGTTCTCATGCAGCCCAGGCTGATCTCAGAACCCGGTAGGTGGCTCAGACTGGCCTTTAACTTCTGCTGCTCCTGTTCCATCTCCCCAGGACTAGAATTACGGGGATGTGTAGTCACACTCAGCTCATGCAGTGATGGTGATGAAACACATAGAATTTGTTTTAGCCTCTGTACAAGTTCCATCTATAAAAACATGGAACAATGGCTTCAAGCTAAGAATAATAACACCATGGAGTAGTTAGCATGACAGTTGTATAAAAAATATAGTGTATCTTGGACCTTATGGCATTTATCACCACAGCCTCAAAGTTTCAGATTAAGTAACAGAAATTTTTAAACATTTATATAGTGCTTCCTCATTGTAAAAATTTGAATATGATTATGTTAAAAAGGAGTATTAATGATATTTAAAATCTTTGAAAATAGAATAAGTTTAACTCTGAAGAACAAGTAATTTATTTCAAAATATAGACATTCAAAATTAGGAAGCTCGTCTCCACGTAATTTTTCAAACAATACAAAAAAAAGGGATACCTAAACTATATCTCTAACTCTAGTGCATGCTGCTTGTAATGCTATCCACTCCCCTTAAGTGAGCTTTTCTCAATTTTTCTACTGTGGAGATGTGGGCATTTCAAACATACCCACTGATTCATATGAAAGCTTCTAATGTGAAAAGCCCATTTTAAAAATATTCCTTAATATACTTGAGAATTGTTGTAATGAGATGATACTAAGAAGATTTGCTGGGGTGGTAAGATGAAAAGTGAGAGAGAATGATGGAAATTACAAGACAAAGCATTAGTTAAGTACTTACACAGTGCCAGGGTTACTGGAGGAGGAGTAATACATACAGGAAAGATGTGATAGAGAAGACATGGAGGTTCCCAGGATGACGGAAATCAGGGACAGCGGAGACGGGAAACAAAACGGAGGAGAAAAAGAATTAAAAAGAAAAGAGAGAAAGAGTAGGCCCCAAACAGTTTAGAGATGGCACACGAACACCATGCTTCAAAATAATCACAGGGGCACAGACAGGTAGGCGAAATGTTAGTCAAAACTCTGCTTCATTGCTACTATGAGGACAACAGTTGGACAGCTGTGTTTATCCCACAGAACACTGACAACCTTAGGTATCAACCTTAGTTCAAGCCCTAAGTTCCTGAATACCAAGAAAGAACTATGTATTTTTTTAATGCCTAGGATTTTGGAAAAGTTATTTTGGCATGAATCAAACTCTTATTTTTCTACAAAGGCACATAAAGTATAATCTGATATATCACTTAGAAATCAATTTAGAATGCATTTTAACATCAGAAAAGAAACTGTTCAGTCTCACATTATACAAGTACAAATTGATAGTAACTATAATCTCTGCCCATAAGAGACTGTTACACTGAATTTTCTTTTTTAGACGTAGTGGCTGATGCAAGTGTAGAAAGCACAGCAGACTAGGAATAGTGGGCTCTCTATCAGTGTTCACATTCCTCCCTTCTACTCACAAGCACCACCCTCAAGCAGAAGCCCCAGGAAGCTTAGAAGTAGAGTGTGGGAACTACAGAGCTCTGTAATAGGTCTGTCTCAGTTGATATGGTAAAGGAACTCAGTGAATCACACTGGAAGAAAGGGAACTTCAAGACACAATTCATTCACTTAGCCTAACATGGGCAGAATTATTAAAAACAAATACATCTGTGTTCCATTATGGATAGAGAATCAAGTATAAATTTTAGATTGCTTTGTCAAAGAACATGTTGATTTTTTCGACTCTGCAACTAAACTTAGAGTAGAAATTTATTATAAACAAATTAAGGAAAACTGTCCACCAGCTCTAATGTGAAAACTGAAGTAGAGCTGTGGAACTTCTGCATGTTGATGTGGGTACAAACACAACAGAGGGCTCAGCTGCACTGAGTGATGCTGGATACAGCACTGAAGTATCCACCCTTCTCTCACATTGGAAGCGGTGGTTCTCACCCTTCCTAATGCTGTGACCCTTTAATACTATTCTTCATGTTGTGGTGACCCCCAACCATAAAATTATTTTTGTTGCTACTTTATAACTGCAATTTTGCTGTTATGAGTCATAATGTAAATATCTGTATTTTCCAATGGTCTTAAGAAAGGGTCCTATGACCTATGAAAGGGCCACTTGATTGCCAGGTTGAGAAACACTGGTGTAAAGCATTTCCTATCCCACCTTGCAGCAATATTGCTTTGCAACATAATCTCTTATATACAATTGTAGATGTACACTCCAACAGTTTAAAAGTTGAGGGGGAAAGTTTCGTGTTAACGTGAAATTGTGGAGACAATGTTCTGTGTTGAAGGGCATAAGCAGAAAGTTGGCTTCAACCTAAAGAAATTAAGTAGAATATAATCAACAAATATTTTCACGTATTTTAGAAAATAATGCTCAAATAGATAAGATTCATATGTAGCAATGTCAATGTGATAGCCAGATAACCTGTGCTAGCTAAGATGCCCATTTCCCATGTCATAGGCAAAGTACAAGAAGTTACTTTTCCTCAATGGTAAAATGGGTTGTGTATTTCTGTCCTTTAGGGCTTATAATTAAAGTATTTGAAAGCTATTCAAATACTAGTTGGCAAGGAGAAATATTCCATGACTACTCAAGAACAGTGCTTTCAAAGTGCAGCCTATGCATATTAATTCAGTTGCAGAGTCACAACTTGAATCTGTAGTCTCTACAAACAGATACCAAATCAAAATGATAGAAAGACATTCAAGTGACAACAGGTGACATATGGTAGATACATCCATATTTGGCTCGGGATCAAATCTTGGCCCGTACAAGAAGCAGACAAGAAAATATATTCCTGGTCACTCAGCTGAATGAGAATTAGGTGGTTGTCATATATGTAGAAGCACAGTAAAATACAGAGTAATAATACCCACTAACTTAATGGATCTGAATTTTAAACTTTGAAGCTATCTATTTAATATAAATGTTTCAATTGTCTTTTTTTTTTTTTTAATTTCAAGTGGTCTGTTTTCCTTTTTACAAACAAATTATGTTCTAGACTAGAACCTACTAGCTGGACAATTTTTATATATAATAAGTTAATTTTAAATAGACAGTAACTCACAGTGTCTGAGTGTTTTATCAGTGTGCTCAGGTCAATCAACAGATTACAGTAAATTAGAAAGAAACCAACATCCAGTAACTGATGGAAGCAGATGCAGTGATCCACATCCAAGCACTGGGCTGAGCTCCGGGAGATCAGTTGAAGAGAGGGAGGAAGGATTATATGGGGGGGGGGGGTGTCAAGATTATGATGGGGAACCACAGAGACAGCTGACCTGAGCTAGTGGGAGCTCAAGGACTCTGGACTGACAGCTGGGGAACCTGCATGGGACTAAACTAGGTCCTCTGAATGTGGGTGACAGTTATGTGGCTTCATCTGTTTGAGGGTTCCCTGGCAGTGGGACCAGGACTAATCCAGAATACATGAACTGGTTTTCTGGAGCCCATTCCCTATGGTGGGATACCTTGCTCAGCCTTGATGCAGGGGAGAGGGGCTAGGCCCTTCCTCAGCTTGGTATGCCAGACTTTGTGGACGACCCAAGGTAGGCCTTACTCCTTCTGAGGTGTGGATGGGGGTAGGATGGGGAGGAGGTGATTTAATTCTCCAGGAAAATCATAAAGGTCTTAGAGAATTTTATCAAGAAATTATTGGCTTTTGATGTCAATTTGGAAATAATTCAATTTTGTATATATTATTTACTACTGGTACAAATTTTTATAGTTTCTTATCTTTGTCTTATAACACTCCTAACTAATTAGAATGATTTCCCCCAAGCATTTTCTTTTTTAGCCACTGCACAGCAAACCCACACATCTTTTATGATATAATTTAAACAATACTACTTATTACTATAAAGCAATTCACTATGACATACCAATGCAAAGCAAACTTATTGGAAACACTTTTTTTCTAAATTATAATTCTTTTGCAAAATTTAATGAAATTTTGCAAAAACTGAGCAGTCATGCTGTTTACTCATATATAAATCACCATATCTCCTTTCCAGTAATGCAGATACTAACTTTGTCACGTGTGTTTTCTGTAAAGAGAAAGCATTTTAAACCATTATTTGATTATATCATTAACTTTTGCATCTTTCAAGGCCAGATCCTCTGAAGCACCACATACGAACTGTTAGTAGTTGCAGCCAAAGAAACTGAAATATAGGATACAAAAAAGCCTTACCTTCTGAGAACAGTGGCACACTATAATGCAAGGCATGTGGACAGTGAAATGCAAACCAGTCCATCTAGTTCATGTAAAAGAGCTTGTTCCCAGTCAGGAATATAAAACCCTGTTCTGTTCTTCATGGAGTAAGGGGGTAGCAGAGAGAACGGCATGCCAAGAACAATAATTTATATGTAGAAGAAAGACTGAAATTTCTTAAAAGTGCCTTATCATTACCAGTTACAAGAAAAGGATGCTTACATAGTGCTAATAGTTACTCTCAAAACTACCAGTACCCTACCCAGACTTCTTACTACAGGGGAAATAGCTAGTTTATATCCTATTATTTTCACCCAATAAGCATTTGTTTGTGTCTCCTGTTTATTGATTCAACACAAATTTGGGTGGGATACCTATAAAACTGGCAAATTAGCCAACCACTTCTCATCACTTAAAAACTAACAGTTCTGGGGCTGGAGAGATGGCTCAGAGGTTAAGAGCACTGCTTGTTCTTCCAAAGGTCCTGAGTTCAATTCCCAGCAACCACATAGTGGCTCACAACCATCTGTAATGAGATCTGGTGCCCTCTTCTGGCTTGCAGGGATATGTGCAGACAGAACACTGTATACAAAATAAATAAATAAATCTTTAAAAAAAAAAAAAAAAAAAAAAACTAACAGTTCTGATGCTTTGAGGAAAAAACAACTTAGCCCTTTACTTTTATATCCCTTTGAACTTTTAAACATTTGGTCATTGGTGGGTGCTATTTTAAAAGTAATTAATACAGAGCAATCACTCTCAACTTTATGGGAGTTTTGTTTTACTGACATCATAAAAATCTGAGAAGCCAACCAGTCACACATCTAACAGAAACAGGTTGACACCTAATGTGGAGAAAGTGTACATCAATACCACAAAACACTAAGGAAGACACACTGCTGACTAGTCAAGTTGTGACTTTTTACTTCTCCAGTCTAAATGCGGTAACAAAAAGAACACTACAGAGTCGCCTTAGCATGTCAAAGGCACCAAACTGTGTTCTCACTGTCCTAACATCTGGACAGCATTTGAAATCAAGCTATTTTTAAACACTTTCAGTTTGCAAATGCAAAGCAGTAGCTTGCTTGTTAATGATGCAAAACATGTATTAATCCCTTTTATCTTCAGTTTTGCGCTGTGCTGAACACCAGGCATGTGCTTGGTGAGTACTTGCCTACTCATTAGGAAGCTGCCACCAAGGCCTTGAAACTACAGCACTGTTACTTTGGCCTGAAATAAGCTTGCCATCATTTCAAGTCTAATTACTAAAGGAATGTTTACCACGCACAAAATGAAACTTTTTGTAAACTCAAGACTTTTCCATAACTTCAGTTTGCTTTTACCTCAAAAAGACTTTATTATAAAATTTCCAGAAATATTAAAAGGTTTTAGTTAAGACATGACTACCTCCAGTGGACTTTCTATCTACTCAAGCTAGAATTTAATCAACAGAGTAAACTTCTGCTTCAGCATTTGACAGGCAACATCACCTTCTTCTGGTTACCTAGTTTGATGACTCTAGCATCTACTGTCATAAAACAGACATACAAGAATAAATATAACCAAACATATACATATTCTTTGCCTTTGACCAGAGAAGACATAACATTCTGAGAAGGGCACTAACTGACTTCGGTGTCTACATCAATACTTTTAAAAAGCTACCCACAAGCACAGAGCCACAGATGCACAGAGCCACAGATGCAGAGCCCAGTAACCTTCCTCGCTCCCTCAGCAGCAGCCTGGAGCTGTGCCACCTCCTCTTTCAGAGCCCAGGAGCTGCCATAGCAACAACTCTACAGCAAGCACATCCTCTTCACTAAGTGGGTTAACATTCCAGAGGGGTGAGATCTCTCAGAATGGGCCTATCTACACAATTATTTTAATTATAAATTTCCTGGAGACTTGCATCCGCGAAGCCGGGCACATGTACATAGTATTTCCCTTAAAAAGTACTTTTATCACAACGAATCCAACCAAAATTGTATGTAGATCACTTTGCCTCCAAATAAGTTCACTGAATTGTAGAAGACCCAAACCAGCTACCTAGAAATAAAGACTTCAAAAACATACGTGCAACCTTAAAACTTGGGGCTTCAAATAATTTAGTATGTTTAACACATTTTTAAAAATGCAATGCCCAAACAAAATATTACAACTTAATTTCCAAAAATTGTTACTATTATTTAACATCCTCTATTGTTTAAGTGCATTCATCTTTAAAAAAAATCTATATATTGCTTCTGGTGCTGAACATTGTTCATTTTTTAAAATTACCGATTTGCATTTGAAGAATAAATTCCCGATAAAATATACCTAAAAAGAACGTTAGCTATCTGCTTTGAGCAAATAACTTATACAGAGATGTGAGTCAGAAGTGGACTTGTTTTCAGCTTTCTAGACTACTTCCCAGACGAGAGAGATTGTTAGAAACTCATGTCCTCTTTCTTCAAGAAGGTATATACATGCTGAGAAAAATTACAATCACTGCCTAAACCTTTGGAGACCAAGAAAAGGGTGGAAATTTTGGTGATAGATCTGCCTTGCATTATAAGTGCCAGCTGTTCAACACTGCAGGAACTTGGAGGGAAACGTTCAGAACATGTTGCAGGCTCAGAACACATCAAAATGCATAATTAAGTTCTGATTAACGTCTAACTGCTTCGTACAAGTACTTTGTAAATAAATAAAGGTCACTGTTAGCGCAGCAAGTACAACTTCATCTTTCTTCAAAGAACAGCTGAAGAAAAAGTAGATTGTTTCCTGGAAATTATCTGAAAGAGCAGAAACCACCCTTGGCCACCTACCCATTTTGCTGTTTAATGTCACCCTGGGATCCTCTTCTCTGTCCCTCTGCTAGCTCCTGAGCAGGCTCGGAACACACGCTGGTGACTGTGGGCTGCCGTGGGACATTAACTGCAGATTTACCAGTGTTCGGTGCAGATGAACACTGGTCAGCACTAAGAGTGGCATTAACATGCAGTCCGGATGCAGAGAATGGGGGAGGAGTGACAGCGGCCCCAGGTGGAGGGGGAGCATGTGATGAGGTGGTAGCATGGGCTGGGGTGAAGGCAGACGATGGTGATGGGATGGATGTGACTTTGGGTGAAGACACAGAACCAAAGGGCCGTGGTGCTTTATTGTAGGCCATGTTGGCTGTGGAAGTGACTTTGGATACAGCAGGAGATGTAATGGGCACAGGTTTAACTACTTCTTTCGGTTCACCCTATGCAAAATAAAAATAAACACATACAAACCACAGCAAAGACATGCAAAACACATGGAGTGCAAACAAGCACACAGTGGATTATAAAAAGACAAACACAATTACGTTAGCAGCCCAAATACATTTTCAGGAAAAACAATGAGTTGATACAGCATAGCATGCATGCTAACTGATCTCAACATGCATAACACTAATGCATAACACATTTTCATTTATGAAACTTTCAAAATATTTAGGAAACTGAAAAGGGAAAAAAACCCTAAAGACCATAATTAAATGTCAGCTTAGATAAATTTTAAAGGAATAATTAAATACACATAAACATAATACTAACTGAAACATCTTATTTTTAAAATACCTAAAGCCTCAATTATAATTCCACATTTCTAACATTATTTTCTTTCTCTCGACTGTGTAATTACTTAAGTCATGAAAATCACCAAGTTTTAAATTCTTCAATTAAAAAAAGGATGAGTAATTCACCAAACTCAAAGTATGTGTTATACAACTATTATGGCTAAAGAATTTGGGGGGAAAAAGTAAAACAGATTAACAAAACGTAATTATCCTGCATTTCTCCTAAGATCCATTTTTGTTTCCATTCCTGGGTACATTGAAATATTATTCACAACTAAAATAAAATTATTTCCCTTTTTCCAAAACAAAATATTTAAGTCTCATGAGAGAAAATATGACATTATATAATTGCCAGAAGCCAAAGACTAGTAAGAAAGACAAATTCCTTCTAAAAATCACCAGTGTTGGTAAACCTTTATCTGGAAACATATTCAAAGCTTTCTCCTTTAAAATGAAATATATTTCTACAACACTGAAAAAAAAAAAAACTTTTATTCTACCATCTGAGAAGAAAATCAGATCTTTAAGGAAATACATACTGGTAACTCAAATGCAAGAGAAAAAAAAAGGCAATATAAACCTTGTAAGTTTTCATTAATTGAGAAAAGTCAGGGCTGAAACAAGTCAATTGAATGAGTAACTGAATATACTGCCCAAAAAATGAGGGAGAAAAACTTCAATGAGAATAAATCAGATGACTATCAACACTGGTTTGTGGTAATGTGAGATATATAATGAAAAATGGGGCGTTTGCCAATAACCTAATTCAAGAACATTCTAGAATGGTATGATCTTCATTTTGGGTAGCTACTTCCTAGCTTTTTAGAAATTATATGTGTAAATATAGAAAAAGTAAATATGAAAGGAATTTGGACATGCATTATTGACACCGTAGGGGCTTAGAAATAATGTTTTACAGTGTCATTACAAATGATAATGTAATCATTACAAATCATTACAAATATTTTTGGTTGTCAACTTCACAAAATCTGTGATTAGCTAAAACCCAAACAGAACCATTTTTAATCCAGATTTTTTGAGGTGGAAAGATCCACCTTTAATCTGGGCCATGCCTTCTGCTGGTATGAAGGACACTAAAGAAGGAAGTTTTCTCTCTCTTTGCCTGCTTGTTCTTGCCTGTCTAGAAAGATTATTCCTTCACTGGCATTACAACCTATTTCTTCCAGATTCCAGTGCATACTAAAGACCAGCTGAGATATATCTAGCTTCATGAATCGAGCAACTACTGGATACATGGATGTACTGCCGGTAGACAGCCATTGCTGAACAAGCTGGACTAGGACTACACTCTGTAAATCATTCTAATAAATCCACTTTCTATACATGTACATACGGATCTGTTCCATCAGTTCTGTTCCTCTAGGGAACTCTGTTACAGTAACTTAAGTTCTGGAGTCTACTTTCCTCTTTGTCTTTTAAGGGGGAAAAAAAACGAGTAAAACTGTGCTGAGACTATAAACCAAACATTGATATGACCCAAGATAAAAACAGCAAGAACAGTGGCTCACGTCAGACTGAGCCTAGTGATGGTGAACTATATACACACCTTCTGGACAGCAACGGGCTCCGGCTTGGCTGCAGCAGATGCTCTGGGGGAGAAAGAAGAAAAAAACATGAGCCATGAACCTCTGGCAATTTAGAAATGTCATCAACAGAATTTTACTACTTATATACTTTAAGATATTAAATGATCAGAATTAATATCTTTATAATTCACAGTTTTCATCATTCACAATTTTCTCATTAGTTCATGTAATTAGACGTCAAATGCCACCAGACCCAATAATCTCCTGTACCACTGTCTTTCTTCAGTCTTTCTATCCTACAAGTTCAAATGAGGAGACAAAGCAGCAATCCTGCTCGCTAATATACCCATGCTCTTCATTCATAGGCTAAGGCAATCCCCACATTAAAAGGGAAAGTAGCATGACTTCCTGATCCTTGGGCAGTTCTTCAATAACCCAGCCTGAATCTTGAATTCCAGTAGTAGCTGCCTTTTCTAACATTCATGAGCATATCTACCAGTGCTAGGTCTCTTTCTAAAGGTTAACAATTATATTCAAGTTGAACTAAGTCCCTTATAAGTAATTTACTTAATATTCACATTCTTAAACACTTAAACAAGTTGATGTATTTGCTATATGTTTTCAACTTTCAACTTGACAGAATCTAGAATTCGCTAGGAGACATGCCTCTGAGCATGTCTGTGAGAGATTATCTTAACTTAGGATAATTGAGAGGAGGGAGAGACACCATAATTATGGGAAGCATCATCCCATGGGCAGAAGTCCTAGACTGAATAAGTAAGCCAAGTGCAGGGAAACCATCACCTGTTACTCCTGGTTAGATGCAATGTGCCCAGCTGCTTCAAGCCCTTGCCACCACACTTCCCCATTATGACGGGCCATACCCTCCAACTGTGAGCTAGAATAAACCCTTCCTTCCCGATGTGGTTTTGCCAGGATGTTGTGCCACAAGGAGAAAAGTAACTATTACATTAAAGAACAAATTTAATTAATTCACCAGGTTCCTTTCAGTGAAAGCAATGACCATGTCCTGTTTTTAATCCATATGTTTTTGCAGCATCTGGCAGGTAGTATGTGACCAGCAATGAATGTGCAAGTAAAAGATTAAAGAAAGTCTGACAAAATTCCAGGCATGTGACAGCTATTTATAGTTCAAGTGGATTGCTATTTTTGATCTGTTCTTATTTTGCACCATATGCCTTTTGGTATGGTGGACTAAACCATAACAATAATTGGTTTGAGCAAGTATCTCTTATAAAATAAAACGATCATTATCTTCACCTTTCAAAACAGGAGCTTCAAAGTTCAAGTAAATTGCTTAGGATTAGAGCTGAGCCTCATGTTGTTATATTTTATACTATGATAGCTGTATTCGTTAACAACTGAGAAAGCTACTGATACTTTATAGGGTATTTACTTTTTAAAGAATTGAGAATTCTACACATGTATATAATGTATTTTGACCAAACTGACCCCCTTCTCTCCCCTCCAACTCCTCCTCTATCTCCTTACTGCATGTTATTTTTTTAATATACCAGAAGCAATCTAATTCCTCTCTTATGATACCAGCCAGAGGATAAAACATCAAGGTAGAATTCCAAGAATGAAAAAATAGTAGGTAAATATTAATTGATAATTTTATTATATAAAACATGAGGTTGCTTTATTTAAATAAACAACAGATCACAAGTAACCTAGAAAAGTGGACCTCTCAATAAACATATTCTAATAATGAACTTTGATCAACATTTTAGCAGCAGCTGAATTTTCCAATAACAACTAATCTAGCTGCAACAGGCACCAACAAAATAGTCAGCTAGCCTAATGAAAGGCCACAGTGGGTACTAACACTCAGCTGCTATAGCACAGGTTATACCCTGTGCCGCTGCATAACTTTCCATGTGTTCTCTCAAACGAATTCTCTTTAGCTTGCAGGATTATTACAACAAAGGGCAAGTTCAAGCGCAGAGCAGTGGAATCTTCCTTTCCTTGGAATTTCACAATCCAATTTAATCGCAAAGGATCTACTCATTAGAACCTCCCAAGACATTACTGAAAGGTTGCCAAGACTGAGAAGCCAATATCCTTCTTGATCTGCATGTCTTAAGATACATGGAGCATGGCTAGCAATGTAATTTGTAAATAAAGGTCATGCTATGTGGCTGGCGCATAGTTCAGCTTGCGGACCATGAGCAAGGCCCTGGATCCAATCCTCAGCAACATAATAAGCAAGCAAAAATCTTGCTTCACTCAAGATAAATACAGACAACCTATATATATGTATGAAAACAGATCTCTTCATTTGTTCTAGTGTTCCCTCTAATTTAAGTAATGTTAACAATGACAAAGGCCCAGAATTGTATTTTCTCTGATTTTGTTGTCTCCACCACTTACGATGTTCAGAATGAATGTTGACAAATATTATTAATTGAAAGTTCTATAAACACAGTATTTGAAAAAAATAAAACTTACAGAAAAAAATTAAATCTGAACACACCCCATTTGCCTTCTGATACAGTTTCACAAGAAATAGATAAGCATTTCAGGAAGAACAGCAACACGCCTGCAAAATCCCGGGGTGGGTCATTATACAAATGTCCTTCCGAGTAGAAAAACAGATTGGCTTATAATTAAATGTCAAATGGAACAGCTGATAGACCACAAATGCAGTAAAAGTCAGCTCCATTGTTTTAAACACTAACCACCAAATGGACCATAGAATCATTAAATTGTGAAAGAAAAGGTTTCTTATATGCCATCAGTATCATACAACATCTCTAAATATTTATTGAAATTCACAATTTCAGGAAAAGTTTGAAATATTCTGTTAAAATGGTTATGCTAATATGTTCTACTTTGCTTTTTGAAGTAAATTTGTAAGTTAGGTCAATAAGGTTTCCTTTTTAACCTTCAAAATCCTTCCCAAAACTATTTTTCATTTTGGCACTGTATGATAAAATGCTTCCTAAAATATTATGGATGTACCTAAGAAACACCAACATTATTACCAACATTTTAGGAAAGGTTCTCTTTAAATGATACTTATTTCTTCTCTTTTGTGTGCTTCTTCCCTAATTTATACAACGAATATGTATTTTTTTATAATAAGGAAAACTTTCTCAAAGCTTATTTCATAGATTCTACCTTGCAAAAATCTAAAAAAGCATTCTACTATGAAAGCTATATGGAAAACATGAAAGTCCAAGTTATACCTTGTCTCAATCACAAGCCTTTAAATACTAAGGAAAATAACATGGATTGTCGACTGCACATATTTGAAAGACAGCTTGTTATTTAGGAATAGTTCTCAAGAGTAGAGTTGAGGGTGGGGCTTGGGAAACATCATTTAAAATAAATATTTAAAGAATGAACAGATCTTTGCAATGTCTGAAATGTTTACTTAAGTCTCCCAGGAGCAGTAGATAAAATTAAGGGAAAGAAATATTACAGTTTACAATCGTAAAACTTTACAACGCATAATCTTAAAACTTTTGCTTATATGAATTATCTTTCTTGTCTCACTGGCACTCTCTTGAACTTTATTTTAATAAGATACTCAATATATACTCAGTCAAAGAATAATATGACCATGTTTAAAGAAGAAAATTCTATTTCCGTTATCATATTTATATAAATGAATATATGTATTCAGTATTCTCTGTGAAGAAAGCCCTAACATATGAGTATGGAAAAGCATTTGCCCAAATTAAAATCTGTTATAATTATCTTTAAGTTGGACAAACAGTAAGCAATTTCTCTTTTAGCCATGTCACAGATTGCCTGAAAAAAAGTAAATTTCAGACATTTTTTAAAATGAATATTTAAAAACTAGAGTATAAGGATTAAAAAAATATCACAAAATACTGGCTCTCCCTTGGGATAGCAGGGATCCAGAGTCACTCCTGAGCAGGGTGAGTTTCGTCTGCTGAGGTCCTGGCAATGGCACAGTGCCATGGCCCAACAATTGGCTTATTGTTCTCTCTCCTTAGTGGGAAGCCCTGACAACAGTAAGTCTGCATGGTGAGATACCAGTGCCTTAGCTCAGTACTATCCCCAGAATATGGAATGCAAAGAACAAAGCTGTCCCTGTGGCTAGAAAAAGCTTTTCAATGTTGCTTGCTTTCTTGGTTTTTGTTTGTTTGTTTGTTTTTAAAGCAGTGTCTGAAACAAATATCCCAGAATAGGTATAAACAGTCTCAGAGCTTCCAGCTTAACTGCTGAAAGGACTTTGCAGTTCTAACAAACCTATAAAAAACTCGAATTGTGAGTCCTGGTTAGAATGAAGAATATAAAAGAGTGACTATAAGTTAGCAATAGCTCTATCATGGATTAACCTCAAAAGAATCAGGCAAAACTGCAACTCTGTACACCCAATGGCTGAAGCTATAGTGAAACCATGTTTTTAACTAGTACATTTTCTAACACTGTGTTACAAAAGCATGTGTCTCTTATTTAACAAAGTGGCCGATAAACTTTCATGAGAGTGTATAAGAACAAGGAATTAGGCAACAGAACTATGTGGATAAAGATTAACTTACATTATTTTTGATAACCAGGAGACTTTTTCAATCCAATCTAACATTTAACTCAAAAACAGCCATGCAGAAAGGATGAGGGGTCTGGTTCATCTTCTATAAAGTGAACTCTAAATTTCCCACAGCATAGCCATCGTTGGACCTCCTGACCTTAGGACCCATAAATACTAGGGCACATCATTAATCACTTTAATTACAACGATGTCAATTTATAATAACAAAGCAAGCCCAAACATGAAAGAAAGCCAACACTCAAGAGTGCAGAGGGATGCCTCAGACAGATCCTCTGTACTTCGCTGGGCTGAGACCCTGAGTGCTGTGAACACTTGTGCCAATGATTCCCTGGACTCTTCTAAACTACTTGAGAATATCTCCTATAAATAAAAGTACAGTATAGTTATGTATCAGACATAAAAACATTCAGTCCATCAAAAGCTTTCCTTACATGGACCACATAAATGCTTTCTCTTGCCATTCACATCTTCTCTTAACTTCAGGAACTAACAAAACACAGTGTTAGCCCCTAGA